GTCCCGAGGGACGCTTCGACTTCTCTGCTGGCCCCTCGAACACTGTCCCGGACCGAATCTGAGCTCCTTGTCGATACTGTATTTTGTTAGGCGCTGTGGTCCCCTGACTGACGCAGGAGCCACCCATTGACGTAAGGACCCTGACCTATGTGAATCGCAGATCTCGGCTTTGTTTTTTGCTTGGGAAATGGGCCCAAAGTCCCAGACCTGAACCCGGTGTATAATCTGGTGACAAATCTTTCACGTGTCACGGTCGTTAAGACTCTACCATAGAAATGAGTTTCGCAAAATAGGATTGGTGAGGCTGAGCGGGAAAAAAAACTTCGCCAAAGACACTAAAAAATAGGTTTCCTCCGGGATTTGACTCAATTTTTTGGTGTCGATCGTCAAAACCAGGTTCCGGTAATGGACAGTAGAGTCGATGTGATGTGGCTTCAGACGTTGTTGGACGTATACGGCTTCGGGAGCAAATAGTGCAGGTTGAGTTGCGCGACTTATGATGTCTGCCATGGAAATTCCCGCTTATTGCCGCAAGGCAGGGGTGCAGGCGCGTCACTCCCAATAGGCATGCTCGACACGGCTTGTGCTGGTGGTCATGGCCGGACGATTACCGCTATCGGTTTGGTCGGCTGGTGTCGATCGTCAGGTTCTTGCAACTGCTTCATCGAATATTCATGTCGAAGCGAAGGTCGACACATTTCAAGGATTCTCTGACTGTGACGGCTATTGCCTTTATAACGCTTTGTTTCATTTTCCGATAAGCGTAACAAACAAGGTAATTTGCTACGGTCTGTAACCTTAAACACCGCTGAATAATACCAAAACGCTCCAACAATAGTACGAAACCACACTTTGGTCAACTATAGATGATATGTCGTTTAGTTGAAATCTGTAGCATACGGGACGAAAGACAATAGAACAAACTCAAGCAAATACGGAACGGGCGCGGAGCTATAACGCGTCCCCGGATGGCCGGTTGGATACCCTTCGATCGGGTGGGGGTTAATTTGACTCCCCGGACATCTCAGGAATTAAGAGGTCCGGGCACACCAAATTTACAGGGTGTATTGACCTGTGTGTGAACTCACTTAGGCCAAAGTTTGAGTCTCTTAGGTCATGACCTTCGGGTCAATCAGGGATAAAAAAGTAAAACTCCAAGTTGGTTTCCAAAGTGTCCTCAGAACCTAGATACCTGGTCCAAACAAAAAGTCGCATGTTTATTCAAGGTCAGTGACCTTGGTTGACCTTAAGAAGATCATGATGACCAAAGCCATCGAATACTGCTCTGAGTTTTGCATTTGAATACGCGACAAAGATTAAGCTAGACAGTATGCTCCTAGAAAACGAAATATTGATCTGGGTCATTTTAGGTCGGTGACCTTTTGTGACCTATAATAGGTTCATGGAAGATGTCTAATACGATTCCCGTCATCAATAAATTCGAAATGGGCCCCAGAAACTACCCTAACAGCAAGCCTTATATTAATAAAACAGGTTGATTTTGGCATTGGTCTGATATTCATATCTGACCCTGGGTGATCTCTAGTGACCTCACATGTGATCTAAGATAAAAATTGGTGTGTCATTCATCAGTGATTTGGCGAGACCTTCACAACAGTGTCCTTGTTTCGTCATACGGTGTCTGGAAGTTGGATGTCTCAGGGACGCCAACTTCCACCACCGGCCGGACGCTGTTGTCTCAGGCCCCCGGCCGGGCGCAGGTTAAGTGGAATGTTCCAAGCTTGAAGACACTGAAGCAAGCATCAGATGTGATGAAATAATCTCAGTTCTAACTATTGGTATGTTTTTAAGTGGGAAACGGTGCCCTAGACAATACGATCTCTTTGTTCTGTAAATATGCTGCTCAGTACGTCATTGTTTGATTACGTCAACATGCCTTGCACAACATTGATTCAGAGCCAACTGACAGTCGTTATATCTGAAAAGCACACTCACGAACGCCAGATATGAATTACTCGACAATTATATTTTTCTTGGCCTTGATCGCCACAAGGCCAATGGAATGGCAGGATTTAAATGGTGTTATTATGGTGCCATGGATTTCGAAGTGACCCTGAACTAGTCTCCTAAAAAAGTCTGCACATCTTTGTGGGCGTGTAGCTAAAAAACTAGCAGGGTTTAGGTCTTAAGAAGGGCACGGCTGTAAACTGCACCAAATGATATGCAAGATGATTTTCAGTTGAAAACTCCATACAAATACGGAGCAGTTGCTTTAACCCACTCCATTTGTAGGTAGATGTGCCACCGTTACTGCCTTTTCTCTCATGAATTATGCTATGCATGGAGTGGGGGAATGAGATGAATTATGTTATGCATTGAGTGGGAGAATGAGGTGAATTATGTTATGTATGGAGTAGGAGAATGAGGTGAATCATGTTATGCACGGAGTGGGAGAATGAGGTGAATTATGCTATATATGGAGTGGGAGAATGAGGTGGACTGTGTTATGTATGGAGTGGGAAAAGGAGGGCGTAACAGAAGAGTAACGAGTGAGGGAGGAAGACGTTAGACAGCCTTGCGCTACGAGTAACTTACGTTAGCGTGGCTGCAAAGAGCGGTAAAATCTTTTAAAACGACAAAACCTTATAGGTACATGACGCTGGCCGTCTTTTATTTGTTTTGCATCTCTAGCTCAAATAGATGACAAATCGACGTTACTTTTGACACGTTGCAGTTAACACGACGTAATCAAGGGAAATGCAGGTTTCGCCCAGCGTAACCAGTGCCGAAGAGGTAGGAAGGGTTAAACGTTTTCAAAGCCGTTTGACGTGGTAGTCGAACCTCTCCTTCTCAACGATTCGCTTCTTGGTTTCTGACGGATGCACAAGCAGAATATATGGTCGCTGTACAAATATGTTTCGTATGCTTTTTACCTCGCGTATCATCGGCAACGGTTATTGAATTATCAGCGGAGACATTTTGAGTTCAGATCGTAAGAACGGGAAATGACTTTGAGCATGATCCCAAGCCCATGGACCAGATCTTGTTTACTTTCGGATAAATCATGGCCGATAACGCCAGGCGGAGCATGATCGCTGCTGAGATTTAACCCCAAACCTATTAGACGCAGATATCCAGAGTAAGGATAGCGTGTGTTACAACTACGTTGCACTTAGTCCTCCGTTTGTCATGAATGAAAGTATCATGTTGTGGTCATTATCATAGTCGAACAAACTCATTGACTTAATTATTAGTGCATTTTTTCAATTCCAATCGGATTTCAACGAATTCTGGAACGCGAAACGGGCTAACTAGACCATTTTAAAATCGTTCGCACTTCACAAATGGTTACATTACTGATTGAGGCCTCCGTCAAAAGCCTCAAAATAGTTTACAGGCACGGCAACTCACTATTGCTCGCAAACTCTTTTCTTTAAAGAATTGATTTTTGAGATGGTCTACTAAAGATTTATTTTAGCACAACGATTTTGTGTTTTGGAGAGCAAATGCATCGCGCCGTGTAAAGCATTACCTTGACAGCCTGTTCAAGCCTAGCACCTCTTGTTTCTCAGTCTTATGTGGCTTATGAATTGGTTGCCGCTAAGGCACTTTGAATTAAATTGAGCTTGTGTTAGGAATCATGTGAGAACAATGGAAAAGATTGTCAACTGATCTCGCCGAAATTGTGCGTGTGGCAGCGGGTCAGCCATTGTCATATGAATGCAATTTTCTGATTAGAATATAGCTAGCAGATGACCAGTTTTCCAACACAGTAGTTGACAGCGTCGATGGACCATTATCTCCTGGTCTATTACAGGCCGGTTATTCTCAAGCAGAAGAACCGATAATGTCGTTGATGCTGATCGGATCAACAATTATTTCCATCTAGTAGCTTAGAGACGGCAAGCATAGCGTAAATTCCTCATTACAGAAACTGGCAATTGGTGTGATTCTGATCGCAAAAGGATCAAAGCGTAACCTCGCGTACATGCGTTTGGCACATTACAGAATATGGTCTGATCCAGAGTAAGGTGTGAGGTTTCCTGTCGATATAAGGACACTATTGGATACCTTCCCCTGGCCAACGAAGGCTTTGTTGGGTGCCCTGAGTTCCGACGTCTGAGGTGCCGGCTAGGTCTACATCCCGCAAAAGCCAATGCTTGAAGGCCATTTGCTCTGAGATTTTTCTTTTTTGTAACTTGAGCTTTCATGTGTGGGCACCTAGCATCACATTAGCACACATGTGAGCATGTAACATCAGAAAATATTCGGATCCTCACTGTTAACGCAGACTGCCATGTCCTCCAACCACCCTTTCACATTCCCTACTTATCCGATCTCACCGCACACTTGCATTGACTTGGCTTTTACCGTGAAGAGCACAACATCTTTGCACGCTTACCGGCTACGCACTGGTGCTCGTAGGGATATACTTCATGTGTCGCTGAAATACAAGTTATCTGAACGAATTGCTGACGGCGCAAATGTTCATTATGCGGTGCAACCCTAGGTCATATTGCTAATCAGCGAATAAATGACTCACCAACCTGCGTAGGTGTCCGAGCATTTTCCTGACTTTTGTGGTCGTCTGCTCACACCGACCACATCCTTTTCAGTGAAAGTACTGTCCCAGCGGCCTTCACCGAGGCTGCGTCAGCTCGTCAGCCATCGATGGATGGACTGGGGCCGACGGACACGCCCTGCGGCGCCGATCACCCGGTTTGTGGGCGTGAGAGCCGTCGGCAGTCGCCCGCCCACTCCCGCGCCGGTGACGCCTCGGAAATTCCGGTCGGCGGTGGGGCGCTGTCCAGGGCTGGCCCGGCCGTGTCCCACCCCAGGAATGCGCCAGTTCCAGTTGCGGCCTGCACGCCGGCTCGAAAACGGAGGCGGGTGATAATTAGGGCTCGAGGGTGGCCTCCGCCGGTTTCCGGCCTGATTGCATCGAAGGGACATTCTCTCCGCGCAGAACCAGTTCGCGACGCGCGGCGCTCTTGTTCGCCGGCGCCGCAGCATCCCTTGCAGCCCTACAAACAGCCGGCAAACAGAGCTCGCTGTATTTGTTAACTCGCTTGGTGTGTGAAACACGCAAAGAGGCGCAAGCGGCGGTTGATTAGCATGCGTCCTCCCTTGACACGCCCTTGAGCCCGCGCTCGAGGCGCGCGGAGTCAGCTGCGCGTCGAGCTTGCCAGTGAACTTCCCTCTTCTGGTCATCAGGCTGTCGAGCCATGCTTCGGCCGTCGGGAACCGTCAGTAACTAAATGAATCGGAGGCCAGCGGCGTACGGCGCCAAGCCGTGGGCGTAAGGCAGCGGAGCGAAGGCGTACGGGGTGGCGGCGTAGGTGTGCGGCAGGGCCGAGTACGCGAACGGGTGCGTGCTGTAGACGACGGGGGCGTGCACGGCGGTGACGGGCTCGGCGGCCTCGACCTCGGCGGCCTTGACCTCGGGCACGACCGGCACATCGGGCACGTCGGGCAGCGCCGGCGCCACGGGCAGTGCGTCCGAGGTGGCCACGTAGCCGTTCTCGTCGGCCACGTACTCGACCGTGATGGTCTCGCCCTCGGGCGTCTGCAGTGAGTACGAGCCGGTGACCTTGGCGCCGGGGTCGCCAGAGGCCACGTGGCTGTGGTCGCCCGCGTCGTAACTGAGGATGTCCTCGGCGGCGGCGGCGGCGACCAGCAGGCTGATGACGAACTGCGGCACGGCCACCCGCAGTCGGTCAGGGGAGCATGTGGGGAGACCGACCCTCGAATGCGGCACGAGCGCTGAAGAAAGCACTGGCGAGATGTGGCATACACGGGAAGAACACTGTCTTAAGAACGCATACGTCGTACTGCACTGGTTCGAGGCAGCCTGTGATGTGGGCGGGAAGCACCAGTTAAGAAATGCATTCGCGAACCGCGCAACGTTGTAAGTATGAGCCATGGTTATGGAGGCATTCCGAACGTAAAATGTCCTTTTTGCCGTATACATCTGCACGCTCAGAAGTCGAAGTCTGATGGCAAAACATGCTGGAGCTTCTACTTACGATGGACTTCATGGCTGGGTGTAATGTGTGCAGACACAAGCGAGCAAGTGATGTGGGCCACAGAGCACCTGATCCTTTTTATACCAGACAATCAGCCTGCTCTTTGGCAAGGACGATTCGCCTTTGTGATGTGGCACACTTCCACGCCCATGTACCAACACTCTGCACCGTGTCGCCCAGACTTGGGCACCACGCCCTTCTGAGGCGCTGAACCGCCAGCTAACAACTAATAACATCGCCAGCGGAGATCCTGATACCTCCTGCTGCAAATTGCACATCGTCGTCGATGAAACTGCTTGTCTGGGTGCACCGCGCTGGTGGAAGACCCAAATTTACGGAGGCTCCTCTTGCCTGCGGCCTGGGAAGGTCCTCGCAACCATGGGCCACGCCCCAGCGGGCGGCGGCGGCGGCGAAGCGCGTCCCTCAGCCGGCAGACGCAAGGCCGCTGCTGTCTCGTCCCGGTCCGGGGCAGAGCGATGGAGTCGGCTGCAGAGGCAGGGCTCCAGCAGGACCGTCCAGGGGAGAGTGGTGTCTCATCGGACAGAGGGTCGCAGCGGCGCGGTGCAGTCAGGCGTGGTGAGACTGCTCGTGACTGCGTCGGATGTGGAGGCGTTTACTGAGAACGCGGCATTGCTTCATCCGGGTGTTTTCCCACCGGTTGGGGACGCTTTTTATCGTTAGACAGCGCCTGTCATGAGATCGTGTTTGCATTGACGAGGCGGAAAGCCTGACTATCATTTAAGCTTCCATGTAACCTCCAAGACAAAGCATTGTTTCGTCCCCATCCGCTGCACGGAGGTCCCTTGCTTCATCGTACCTCGGTGACGACGTGTAACGGAAATACCACACCTGTTGAAATGTCGTCTTGCAGCCCATGGAAGACTCTGGAATCTGGCGTAAAGCTCATTGGACAGGCGCATATGTGCAAAAGGAATAAGAATGTTGCTTGTTAATGTAGGCATGTCGGTATGCCGAGAGATCCACCAAACACAGTACAAATCCATTGGTAGATTTCATAACTGACGTTTCCGGCGGAAGAAGCCGAGCAAACGGGACAAGCGGCTATAGGTAACCACGAACAGAACTTTTCGGCGTGACGTGTCCGGCGTCTGTGGTGCACCACGCCCCGAACGATGAGTGTTGGTTCGTGGGAGTACCCAGAGGTTCGAGCCCGCAGTTAAACTTCCGTCCACCGTGAGTTTTTCAAATGCATCAAATCACGACATTTTAGCTCTCAAATTATCTTTTCGACGCCAACAAATGGCCACCAACAGATATATTTCCAGCTGCGTGCTCCTTCATCAGCTGACCTTTCCGAATGTTACGACCTGAAGTGCTGCCATATTTGCGGGCATCGCTAAGCGGCGCTCGCTTTCTGAAGTACCCGTGGGCACTAAAACGAAAACTGTGTTCCTTTGCAGAGCATGGGCAAACCCCTGGCATTAAGAAAGATGCAGATGGATGAGCACATGCCGTAACTTTCTTGGCATTCGACCAAACAATAATTCTCGGGCTTAGTTGTCGGCAGCAACAGGAAAGAAAATATTTCAATGATCTTAGGTAAAAGTATGGCTGTCCCGGGAGAAGCTTCGATTGCTTCAAACCATTTTCACTTGCGGTCAAAACCAGGTTCAGGTAACGCCTGCAACTTGTAGACCATGCAGAGTCGTGGTTGGAGGGTGTTGCAAGGCAGGAGTGGTAGCAGTCACACCGTCTTTCACTGAAGGGGCCATGCTTTTGTAATTTGCTCGTTGACAGATACTTGATTTGGTGGTTTGTTACCCAGCTTGACAACTTATCTCGGCAGTCTGCATCCTTGTGTGGATAAAGCCATGATGCATGTAGGCTGCTGGCTATGACCGCTTCACAGATATAACTGAAAGTGTGCTCGGTTAACTGTGGTACTAGTAGTGTCTGGTACACGATAAACTGCACTCGTTAGTCGACTTTCACTGTGCAGCTGCTGAGATCACAAAAGGAGCGCGTTCGAACAGCCTGCGCTTCAGTTTTTTTCCGAGAGATCTACCGGTCTCGAAGTCCGATCCAAGCCACTGGAAGTCGACAGCCATCATCTCCACAGGGAATCTCCGGCCGGCCGGCCAAGCTGACCGGAACTGGGTCACGGCGCCCGTGGCACGGCCCGTGCGGCTGCGCAGTGGCGGGTCCAGCAATCGCTGAGGGAGGAGGAGGACTGCAGCAGAAGGGCCGCTGGGTCGGCCAACCGGCGACCCGGTCAGCATCTGTAACATGGTCACAGCTTTCACCTAGTTATCGCGTGCCTCACCAGCTGGACGCGCCCCTGGCATGGTCGAACATGTACCGGTTCGAGCGGAGACGCGCCCCTGGGCGTGGGGCGGGTGGGCCGCCGTCCCCGGTGCCCGCTGTCTGGCGCGGCCGCCCCCGGCTGACCCTGGGCCAGACTCGTCGGGCCACCAGCGGCTGGACAGGGCCTCTGCAGTGGCCAGCCGGACTCGCAGTACATTGCGCACCTCAGCCCACGCTCGCTTCCAGCCTTAACGGTGGACGTTAAAGCACAGTTTTAGGAATAAGCTTTTTGCTCGTGTGCATCGTCAACAACTTCTTGTGTTCCAAAATCATTTTTTTAAGGAGCAGCATTGAATAAGTTAAGATGCGTGACACTTAGCGACACGACAGAATGATGTTGGTTGTAAAAAAGTTCAAGGTTTAGCCATTTTAAGTTTAATTTCCGAATTGGACTGAAGGAATGCTTGGAATTCCAAAACTTTAAAATCAATCGGCACATCTACTCGGAATCGGAATTAAGATTAATCGGAATCGACCATTAAGGTCTCGATTTAAGGGTTCGAAGGGCATAAATCGATGAGGCCCCAACGACCACCGAATCGATGAGGGCCTCTACGTTAGCCAGGCACCACCAGTAGCCATCAACTGGCTCCGTGTCGGCCTGGGCCCTGAGAGCCCCTTTCCTGAGTAGGAACAAGGCTTGGAACCGCGGTTTACATTGATCGAGGCTTCTGAGTTAAGGAGAGGCCCCCTGTGCCTCAACCATGGCTCCAGGATGCTCCACAGGAAGTCCTGAAGTTGGGAAGCATCGTAGATTGTGGATGGGGTGGCGAAGTGTGCATTTTATAGCGTGAAGGGCTGTGTTCTGTCTCAGGTACTAACGGATGGTTCCCATATGGAGACGCCAGTCCCAGCTGGAGACGATGTGGGTTTCAGCGCGAGTCACCGCTTTGTGGAAGGCATAATCTATTCCCCTCTCCATACCCTGCCAGTGCCACGGCAGGTGCCAACTGCATCGCTATGCCTTGAACGTCTGAGGAGTCAGCTGGCGCGCGTGGCAAGCCCCGGTTATGCTGCACATCGGCTCGGTGAAGTGAACTCTGACCTTTTCTGGCGCGAAAACCCCGGCGTAGCCACCTATCTAGAGCTGCTCAGCGGCCTATCCTCTACACAAGCGATCGGGTACCGAACGGGTCGGGACAGCGCGGCGTAAGATCGCATTGTGACCCCTGATTCAGACGTAACCACCACGGCCCTGCGTGAGCCGTTCCGCTCCAGTGAACAGCGGCCTTGCTCTTTTTAAGTTGACATTGCCAACAGAGCGTCACTGGTCGGCGGAAGGGACCGTTAGGTCGATGTGGCGGCTCGACCCAGACCTCTGCGTTACGACATTATCACTGCGTATAGGACCTCGGCGCTGGCAGATCCGGGGGTGCACGATAAATGACGCGGTTATCGGCTGTGTGGGGTCTCAACGTGGACAGACGCGTGCCCGTTGTAACTGTCAATCTTTGCCCCGCGCTGCCCCTGGACAGATAACCCTGAGGTCAGGGATGTCAGGAGCGTGCGGGACTTGGCCCGAGCCGAAACTGACCGTGGTCTGTATGGAGGGATTAGGAACCGTTGCTGACAAGGTTGCAGCGCTGTTGAGGCAGACCAGCGCAAAGCGCGCTCAGCTCCATCTTAAAAATGGCCGAAAACCAGTTCGGAGGGAAGAATTCGTAAACGTATCATGACCTCAACGAAGGGCAGTAGTGCTGTTAGAGAGACGCCTGTCGCCGATCGCCCCGTTGCATGGGCCGAAGAGTTGAACCGACACTTCTCACAGTCTCCCCTGTCACGCCGCGTCACTGGGTACGGCCTCACAGTCTCCCCTGTCACGCCGCGTCACTGGGTCCGGCCTCACAGTCTCCCCTGACACGCCGCGTCACTGGGTACGGCTTCACAGTCTCCCCTGTCACGCCGCGTCACTGGGTACGGCCTCACAGTCTCCCCTGTCACGCCGCGTCACTGGGTACGGCCTTACAGTCTCCCCAGTCACGCCGCGTCACTGGGTACGGCCTCACAGTCTCCCCAGTCACGCCGCGTCACTGGGTACGGCGGCTGCCCCCGCTGCTCTCGGCGGACAGCTGTCATCTCGTCAGCCCCGCGCTCGTCACAGGGTGTGTTCGAGGCGGAGCCCGCCACTACCCCAGGACACTCCTGTGCGCTGAAGCACACCAGCTGCTGGTGGCATAGCTGCTGTCATGCTGATTGTGACATTGCCATTATCTTATTTCTATATGTTTACATATCTTCTGCTCCCCTTTCTTTCTCTTTCTTCCTTCTCACTTTCTTTTTCTTTTTTTCCTTTCCTTTACCCTGTTTCCCTAAAGCTAATTGTGAGGTTGAATGCCGCTTCGATGACGCCCGTGTAAAAGATAAAAATATTTTTGTCATGAAGAATTAATGTGTCCATTTTACATACCATGTTCATGTCCATGTCCATTTCATATACCGCGTCTTACCTTGCCGAACCCGTTGCATGATACCACCTGACACGGCATCTTATCAGATGCGACATTTTTGTCGTGGGCATCACGTCTTCCACCTGGTTTGCACTACGGAGTCGGCCTTCCATGGCGATGTCGGCTACATTTATTCCAATACGGATGAGAGACAGAAATCCCCGTTTTGGAGATAGACTCATGAAAAGAGTTGGACAGAGTTGGGCATGAACGGCTCCTGGAGCAGTGGGCTGGTGTGGTATTTGATGGCTTTCTGGCTGGCTTTGTGACTGCTGTAAAGTGGTTCAGTGTGGCTTTAAATTATGCCCGGCTTCGTAA